GGCTGGGCAATTCAGTTCACTTGAGATGGCTGCTGCTAAACTGGAGTTTGGCACTAGTTAGGATCCTGTGCTCTTTTAGTATGATATGGAAAAGCAAAATATAGCAGAAGAACCATTCTCCCAGTACCCTTTGTACCCTGTTGTCATCTGTCAATCAAAAAACACGCTAGGTAATGCCTTGCAAGGAAGACACCTAATTGAAGCACAACAGGAAAGGCACACCAATTGGATATCCTGCTGGCTATTATTATTTCATTTTCATCCAGGAAGAGGTCATGGAAGACTAGAAAGATTTATCATGAATTTCTTTCCTCTCTCTCCAAGGAGCTCAGGATGGCATTCACCCCCATCCCCCCATTCTCAAAGAACTCTGAATCACATTAGGCAGAGAGAGGACATGGAACTAGAAACTAGGCCTCCCAATCTAGTGAGCAGCACCCTAACCATACAGCCATAGGGATATGTAAGAGAGAAGCGCATGATTAGGCCTTGGTAGTTTTCATGACCCTTTCCCTACCTATCATTTTGGGCTCTGTATTGAGAGGTAGAGGAACTAGAGATCAAATAGCGAACATTTGCTGGATTATGGAGAAAGCAAGAGAGTACCAGAAAAAGATCTACTTTTGCTTCATTGACTACATTAAAGCCTTTGATTGTGTGGATCACAACAAACTATGGCAAGTCCTTAAAGAGATGGGAGTACCAGACCACCTCACATGTCTCTTGAGAAACCTGTATAAGGGTCAAGAAGTGACAGTTAGAACAGGATATGGAACAACTGATTGGTTTAGCATAGGAAAAGGAGTATGACAAGGATGTATATTGTCCCTATGCTTATTTAATTTATATGCAGAGTACATTGTGTGAAATGCCGGCCTGGATGATTTAGAAGCCGGAATTAAGATTGCTGGGGGAAAAATCAACAACCTCAGATATGCAGACGATACCACTCTAATGGCAGAAAGTGAAGAGGAACTAAAGAGCCTCTTGCTGAGGATAAAAGAGGAGAGTGCAAAGATTGGCTTGAAACTCAACATAAAAAAACCTAAGATCATGGCATCTGGCCCCATCACTCCTTGGCAAATAAAAGGGGAAGTCATGGAAGCAGTGACAGACTTCACGTTCCTGGGATCCCAGATCACCGCAGACTGTGACAGCAGCCCTGAAATTAAAAGATGCCTGCTCCTTGGGAGGAAAGCAGTGGCAAACCTTGACAGCATAATAAAAAGTAGAGACATCACCCTGCCAACAAAAGTCTGTATGGTCAAAATAGTGGTATTCCCAGTAGTACTGTATGGCTGCGAGAGTTGGATTATAAGGAAGGCCGAGTGCCAAAGAATAGAGAGCCAGTTTGGCGTACTGGTTACGTGTGCAGACTCTAATCTGGGAGAACCGGGTTTGATTCCCCACTCCTCCACTTGCACCTGCTGATGTGACCTTGGGTCTATCACAAGCT